AAAAAAAAAAGGTGGAGCAGCAATTGCTAAATGTTTTATGGGAGATGTGTCCTAACCAGGAATTGCCACATGTGTGGACCATAAACCTATGGAACCTCTGTAATAATAATAGGGACTATTTCCAGACCCTATCATACTAACTGTGGATCGATCTATCCCCAAGGGCATTCTTGCTAAATTGCAACTTAAAGGCATAATAACTCTTTGTATGAGACCTATATCTCACAATAAAAACCTTGTGAATAACTCATAGAAATATAATATATTCTGTTTTACCACAAAAACAGCAGTTATAGCTTTTATTCTGATATTTGAACTTGTCTTTAGACCACGTGACCTCCATTGATGTCTATACTCTGTTAAAATCTCTTAAGAGATTTTAACAAAAAACCCAACTTTTTAGAAAAAAACCAGGGACTAACTTTGAATATAAAAATGGATTCATTAACTATTGGTAAGCATGGGAAAATTGTTGTTTACTCCAGGAAAATTCATTTTTTGGCCGAAACGAAGAGTTATTATTGCTTTAAGCAGCTTAGATGCCTGCCACACCAACTGAAGCTGTTAGGGGGTAATAAACTATTGTTTACCAGCTTCAGCAGCCATGCCAGACATCTAAGCCAGGTCATGACAGGTCTCCTGGGCATCCTTGACATACTTCTGAATGTTCACACAGTTCTTTATAATCTAGCCCACAAGTTCAATGTATAATCATGGTAATCGTTTGACAGATAAAATTGTTATACTAAAGATTTTTATGCAAGTTTGAATTTACATATTATTTTCATGTTTCAGGTACAGAGCCTTGTTCTTTTGGTAACTTTACAGATGGTCTGGAGGTTCTTGTGTACACTGAGGACAAGAGAGGTCACACTCGGACTCTGGACATATTGCCCCCCCAGAAGTTCAGGGTACAGACTTCACTGTTTGTAGTTTTTTTAAGAACAACTCATACAACAAAGTTGACAAAATTAAGTGTGTTTGCCATCATGGTAAATCATGGCTGTGTGATGCAGGGGATATTGACATTCTCATACAAATCTCAATTTTTTTGTTCCTAAAGGGATCATTTAACCATTTTGTATAAATTTATGATGGAGCACAGAAATATTAATAATTAGCTTTGTTATTTGATTTAAAGAATGGTCTATAAAACCATTATAAACCAAAACTGAAGTGGTAATTAATGTCTATAAAAAAATCACAAAGTTAATACATGGAATATATATAACATCCTTTTGTAGAAACCAAAGTTAGTCTCCCTTCCTCTGGACCTGAAGTCCAAAAAGATGAAATCTCGAATCTGCTGGATCCAGAAGAAGCATGGAGGCCTAAACAACCATATTTGGAGCATTGACAGTATCCAGCTTCTGTCCCGTCTTCCCAGCATTCCCTCTCACTATGTGCAGTTTGGGCTGAACATGAACTGTGGCACAAAAAGTGATGGAAGGTAAGTTATTGGCATAGGTGTTGGCAGTACCCACGGTTTTGGTCCCTACTCTTCTCGTCCCTGTATCCACCACGGTGACCATGGCTCTATTCCCATAGATTTTAGATCGATCTATCCCCGCGGGGAGTCTCACTAGATTACTTTCAGATAATCAGACTTAAATGTCCGTCCCGCCTACTACAAGCTGTAAGGGGGTAATTAACTTTCCTGTCCTCCCGGCTGACAGGTATTTAGCGTGAACCCCCAGGGAGTTAGGTCTAAAGTAGGTCGATCTAATCTATGGAAATGGGGTGCATGTCTCCGTTACTGCTCATTACTGCTTCTCTTCCTCGAGTACAAGGGCCTGTGTATCCATCTCTTAGATGTAAGTCACACATGATCTCAATTTAATCCACATCAATTTTGATGTTCACTGGTCTGATGGTGATTTGATTTTGCAATATATTTTTTCTTTGAAACATATCATTTTAAATCATATGCTGTAATTGTGTCATTGACATTGTGTTTTTAACAAAATTAGAAATATAATAATGTGTTTACTATCATGGTAGAGTGAAGCTGGAGTTCTCCACAGATCGGGGAGACAACTGGTACCTAGTCCATCAGCCATGTTTGCCTGGAAGATGTCCTGGACAGCATCACACAATGTCTTCTGTCTTCAAACCATTCGAGATTAGCGGGTAGGTGTTCCCTCACACTTGACTGTCATCTTGATCATTTATTAAATCCAAATGCCAGATAAAAACAAGTTTATAATACAAGAACACCAGTCTACCATTTTTCAAAAATCCTAATCAGATTTTTTTTAATGGGGATTTGTGCATAATGATTCTATAGTATTAATACCATCTGAAAGTGAACTGCGGTCCAGCTGCTTCAGAATCTATGTAGTAAAAGCACCCATGTTTTATTTGTTATATTCTATGAGCGCATTCTCAACGAATTAAGCCAGGCTTTACAAAGCCGGTGACCTAAAAATGGCGGTCGTACATGAAAGAAAAACCGCCTAATCTTTTAATAGTCTCTCCGCCTCTCACACGCCTCCCCACACGTCGTCCCTGCGGGGTACAGTAATTAAATCTCGGCTCCGAACATTAATATTTCCGTGAATATCTCTGGTGATATTATCTCCGTAGATAGTCGATTCATTGCTGCTCTACGGGCCAAATTATTCCTTTTTCGTCTCTGTTTTCAAAGATAATAGAACAGAAGAGCTTTTTTCCTTCGATCGCCTTCAGCCGCCATGCTTTCTTCACCACGAGTTTAACTGATGAGCATGCGCACTTAATATTTCTCAGGTAGCTTCCGCATGGCGAACGGAGACGCGATTTAATTACTGTACCCCGCAGGGACGACGTGTGGGGAGGCGGAGAGACTATTAAAAGATTAGGCGGTTTTTCTTTCAAGTACGTCCGCCATTTTTAGGTCACCGGCTTTGTAAAGCCTGGCTTAATTCATTGAGAATGCGCTCTATGAATGATTATTTTTCAAAGATGGCAGCGTGTCACTGTGCCTTTGCCCTATGCAGCTCTCACTTCCACCACCAGATTGCGCTGGCGTCAGGTTGGAGGGTCGGTTCAAGTTCATTGGGGCATAGATACAGGTAACTATCATGTGGAGACCTGACACTGTCAGTATTGAAAATTGCTAGTAGTATTACTATTTGTGATGAATATATCATGCACTGAAAAGAATAAAATAATGATAATAAAATTAATTTTGCAATTAAAAGTTGGATTGTGCAAGTCATAAATGAATTGAAAAAAATCAGACAAGGGGTACTAAAATACTAATTTTCCTTGAGACAGTTTTAGTTTTACTGGCATTTGGGGCGTAAACTTTGCAGTGGGATGACTGTGCATTACTGTTAACAAACTTGATCTGTATGGTAGCGCCATCTATCTTTTCTTATTTGCAGTATTTATTGGGTCCTGTCCCAAGGGGTGTGGAGGACATGGTTACTGCAAGGAGAGTGGATGCATGTAGGGAACTTTTTCATTTAAATGGGAGGATTTAGTTTAAATGTCCTGCAAACCAGCAACAAAAATAATGATATTTATTTAGTAATTTAAAATGACTAAGATATCATGATTTGACTACTGTAGAGAGAACTCAAAGATTCTCATCTCTACCAAGGAAATTTTAAAATATTATTTTAAACCTGGATCAAGTAAAATGGTATTCATTCCTTTCCCTTCTGAATAATCTTTTCTGAAAGTTGAATCATCAAAAATATGTGAAAAGCTAAATATGAGTTATCTTGACCATAGATAAGCAGACAAACAGAGGACTAGACCAATGCTGATAAAAAACATAACTAACCTCCCTTTTCAAAGGTATTAACATTGTTTATATGTTTAAATTTCTTTAAAATTTTGAACTACAGTTCAATGCTCTCCTCATTGCCATGGTCACTGTGATAAATTATATGTAAATTCCAGATGTGACTTTGGCTACAGTGGTGACACCTGTGAGGAGACAACAGCATCACATCCAACATCACTTGTGGAAATGCTGTCACCTTCAGCAGACCAGGTAGATGTTTTAGATATTTTTGATTATTTATTTTACAATATGAACTTAAGATGGATTGCATAATAGTGGATGAACTAATGAAATTATTTTTTTCCTATTTTATTTTTGGTAAAAGCAGTCAGTTTTATGGTTACCTATCAACTATTCCAAAATTTGAACCAAACAACAGAGGAATTAGGCAAGCATAGGCTTTCCCTCTTGCTTGTGAAATTAATGTCGTTTTCTGTAAAAATATCTACTGCATTAGTAACTCAATAAGCTTGGACAAAATGAATGATTTATTTCCCCTTTCAGAAAAATATTTTGTTAGTAATACTTAAAATGATGACTTGAAGGTTTTGAAAAGTTTGTTGGTTTCATGTCAAAAGTAACATTGTTGTGATTGTCTGAAAATGCTAAATCTTGAAATACTCAGAATATTAAAACAAGGGAAGTGTTTGAAAATTGAGAGCAATAAGTTAAATTTTTAAAAATTTAATCACTGTGATATCTAACTTTGGCATGCAGGCCTACCCAACTACCAGACTCGGCACCGAATGATCCTGAATTCACCGGTAAATCGGACCACACTACCCGTTTTCAAGGTGTGTGTCAGATCGCATTACACAGTATCAGACACGACACCGCTCTTGCCTAGTACGCCATGTGATAGTGACGATTTATGATACTGTGTAATGCGATCTGAAACACACCTTGAAAACGGGTAGTGTGGTCTGATCTACTGGTGAATTCAGGATCATTTGGTGCCGAGTCTGGTAGTTGGGTAGGCCTGGCATGGGTTTAGTGAAAATGGATATTATTGTCCTCAGGTTCTACCAGCACGCTTTATGAGCATCCAGGGGGCGACACTGAGCTATGCCTGTGGCGTGGTGGCCAGTGGGAAGGCACTGGTGTTCAATGGAGATGAGATGAGAAAGGCAGAAACTGTGGATCTTAATACCACCTTGTCAAGGTAGGGTAAAAACTTGAACATTTAGATGGTCTTGAAAATTTCATCAAACTTGAAAATGGGCCTCACGATAATTTTGAAAAGTTTGTCACCTAATATGGACAAGTTGGATTCAGGCATTTGAAGATATTTTAAAATTGAAATGGTTTTAAGTGACAAAATTTTCAAGTTTTTACCGTAGACATTTTTATGATAAGGAAGGAGTGGTGAAGGGGGTTATGAGAAGACAGTGGAAAGGTTGAAAGGGATTAAGGCTGTGGTTTTTAATGGTTCTTTGATTTTTAAGACAGGGATTGCCATTCGGAATAGATCCTTACTAAAGAGCATGTGGGAGTGGAATGATAAAATTTCATTTGGGGTTGGCATAAGAGGGGCTCTTATTGGTCAGGTATCAATAAACTTATGTATTGTATTACTTTGTACTTTATGCCGTTAACAGAAGCTTGAAATATGAAGGCTCGTAACTTTTTAATTTCATTATAGATATCTCCAGTTTAGCCTGCGTATAGGCAGTGAGTCACCGGTCAGTGCCTGTCTGTCCCCTGACCGACCAGATGAAGCCGTAATACTGGATGTTTCATGTAACGGTGGGATAATGTGGGACACAATGAAAATGTTCACTGCCAGCCATTATACAACACCAAGGTATACTAGGCTCTCTCTCTCTCTCTCTCTCATAATATTGTTTTAGAATGCTGAGAGCAAATATCATAAACTTCAAATTATGAAAGATTTTCGGGGACATAATAATATTAGCTTAGTGGACATGGTACATGCAGCTACTTGTATTGAACACAAAGTTCTAATTACCCAACAAAATTTCAAATAAACTTGTTCTTTTAAGACTTCTAGTCCTTACTATAATAATTAAATAATGCGTATACTATGCTGATGAAAACTTTCAGGTTATAACGTAGAATATTTTTTTAGGGTCGAATTTATTCATCTCTTGCCTTCTGCCATTGGTCCGAGCTGTCGTTTCCGCTGGTGGCAGCCAAATCACTCGGGCCACAAACTGGACATCTGGGCTCTGGACGATATCTCCCTGACCAGTAAGCTGTATAATACAATCAGCCTGGACGTAGGGAAGCTGGACATACTGGACAGTGGGGTGAAATTACACTTGGGGGAGATTGGGAGTTTCTGTGGAAAATTAAATGCTGTGAGGTTTGTATCACTTCATACATCTCTTATGCTATCTCAGCAACGGTCCATGTACTTTGTGCACTTGCAATTATTATATTGATCTATTGCCTTATTTATTTGTTTTTTTTTATTACTTTTTTTTTGTTTGTGTGTGTGTGTTTAATAATGAGGTCCAGAAAACATTTTTATGCACAAATGTAATGTACTTTAAAAATCACTCCATTTTTATTGTCACAATGATAACACAAATATCAGGCTTTGCATTTACTTGAACCTAACATGTAATATAATTTGAATAACTGATATTTCCTAAGCAATGTATTGACAATAAAACTTGAATTACACCAACCATTCACTGGCAATTCAAAACCTCAAGTTTTTTACATGCTAAATTCTATGAAAACTGCCAGATTTGTGAAGCCAGAACATCAAGAGGAATCCCGCTCCATCACCACTAACGCTGTCCACATTGGACCCAGCCATGAGGTGGAGTTTGAGCTCGTTCTGGGGTGTGGTCAGCGATTCTCGGACACGGTGGACAACAGCGTTGTGCTGGAGTACTCCACTGACCATGGGATGAACTGGAACAAGGTACAGTATAACTATTTTTGAAGGCATAATTAGTACATTTACAACTTAATTGTTTCAAGGATAACTGTTTTGTAAATAGCATGACGAACTTCAAGATTATGGACTGTTAAGCTTTATTGGCCAAATAAGCATTGTCAAACCTTTGTCATATTATTATTATTATTATTATTATTATTATTATTATTATTATGATGATGATGATGATGTTAACATTTAACCAAGCTGATATAATTAAGTTCCGTGTCTTTATTTGTCAAATAAATAATGTGAAGCTTTTTCATATTATATTAACATTTCAACAAGGTGTTATAAAAATATTATTTTTACAGGTGGTGAGCTCATGCCTTCCACCCCAGCAGTGTCCCCAGTACCAGTCAGATAGTAAATACTCTGCCAGTGAGTTCAGGCAGTGGAAGAGAGTAGTAGTGCCTCTGCCAGCTCATACATGGTACATATTAAACATAAAACTTGTTGCTGTGTTTTTCTATTACATATGTTAAAATGACTCAGCACCTGAGTCCTCTTTTTGGAACTCTAACAGAGTATGTGCCAAAATGTTTAAAGCCTTCTGGTGATTTGGGTAACCTGAGTTGAAGAATCTGTTGATAGAAATTAGAAATGCTGGTCTGTAATAAATCATATTTACTCGATTTTAGTGCCGTTTGGCATGGGGTTAGTATACATGTAGTTATCATATTTCTAAGTTAAAAAATTTATAGGATGTAGACTCATATATATATTGAGACAGTACATCATACAAAGTTGAAAAAAAAGAATTATTACATTTTCTGAAGTGCCCGCTGTTGTTTATGTATATTACAGGTCAGTGACGACCATGTTACGGCTGCACCAAGCCCAGTGGACACCTGGGGACAGCTGGGCAGTTGGTCATCTTTATGTTGGTCAGCAGTGTCCAGAGCTATGTAGTGGACATGGGAACTGCTTTGAAGGGGTTTGTAGGTAAGGATATATTTAGGTCCTAGTTTTAAGTCTAAGTTTTGCAATGTATATGTTAGACCCATACAGAACAAAAAAAAAATAAACAAAAAATTCGGGCAACTTAAAAATTTTTTTCTATTTAACCAAGGAAAATCCAATACCATTGATAAAATAGACCATAGACCAGTTTTAGAGTTTTAAGTTATAAATTTATAGTCATTATATTGGAGACAGTGAATTACTATTGTGGCAGTCAAATTAGATTTTTACTTATCTGCCTCTTGATGATTTTGTGGGGTTATGGAATTAACATGAGAAGATTAAAAAAGCCTGGAAAAAGATAAGGGATATAGGTAGACCCAAAGTGGTTTTTGATTGAAAAAGTATTTCTTTTATTTAAGTGAATCTTAGGTCTGGAGAAATTTTCACTGTTGTAAATTTATTATTATTATTATTATTATTATTATTATTATTATTATTATGATGATGATGATAATGATGACTGTATGCTTTTGTAATTTTTATTATTCATGAAACGTTACAGATGTGATCCAGGCTACAGCGGTGAAACCTGTCAACCAATAAAGCCACTTAAGACTCATCTGCGTGAAGATTTTTCCCGGATGGGCGAGCTTCACGAGACCTGGGAAGTGGTGCTGGGAGGAGAAGTGGTTCCAGTCAAGAAGGGATGCGGCACCATTCTGTCTGGAGAATCCCTCCATTTTAGTCAGGTGACATAGCCTACTTTCATTTTATCATTTTAATGATCAGCTGAATTGATGTTACCCCTTTTTCCCCCTAAACAATATATTGACAATAAAAATTTAAAACTTTGTCAGAAAAAGTACATTTTGTAAATAAAACCAGCAGTGGTCATCTCATTACAAGCTGACCATGCCTCATAATTGTTCAGATTAACCAAAATAAGGATATATTGAACACTTTCATGTGACATCTTTTTGAATGACATAAAAAAGTGGTTAAATACAGTTATGTTCAATGTAAGTGTTATGAGGGGTTAAATATGGGTATGAGTGTCTTATTTGATAAGATTTTAATGTTATGATCATGAAATATTCTAAAGTTTCTTAAATGAATTATAGTTAACATTAAGTTATTTGTCACATATATTAATGATTACCCCAACCTTCAAGTTGTTAAGTATAAAGTGCACAGTCAGTGTGATGTTCTTGAATCAGACGCATCTAATCTCAACATGTTAATAATTACCATGACCAGTATAAAAGACCCATGCATGTTCTTGTAATTTGAACATTAAGTTGAAAACCTCTCACTATGGAAATGTGGGCAGCCACCCTTGTCGTGATAGGTGCTTTTTGCACGATTACCCATGTTGAACCACAAAAGCCACAAGGTATCGATAGAAATCCGCAGGTAGTTGTGACCAACGGCTCTCAGTGTACTTACACACTGACCGTTCCTGCTGCTGAAAAGTCATGTAGTGGTCAAGATCAAAGAGTTGACCAGTTACTGGACAAGACAAAGAGGCAAGAGGCAGCATTGATGGCAGTGCAGTCTATGCTGATACAAACTGAACAACGATTGGGTGAACAGGAAAAGGTAAGTAAAACTAATGATTAGAAGTCACAGTTGTCTATCAGATTTTGCTTGAAGAAAAATATTATAGAGAAGAGTTATTTTGAGAATAAAGATGTAAAGATGTTTTAGCTTGGAGATTTCTAGATGATCTCTTGTTTTCAAGTTCATATAACTTATTGTGGTTATCCAGCCTTTTTAAATTAATTAATCTGTTTGTTTATTAATTTATTCCAGAGCAGGTATGGCTTTGATTTTGGACTAAGATTAGCTTACCAAGTTACATATAAAATTCAAATAATATTATGTAAGAACAAGGTTTAACTGCTAAATTGTGCAGGTTCAATTTCATTTCTTGCAGAAGCTTGATGAGCAGGCATTGGTCATACAGAGCCTGTCTGCCCAAGTCCAGGCACTCACTAGTTCTATTTCCAAAAGACCATTGAAGAGGGAGTATCAAGGTAATAGATAACTTATGAAATAATTTGTTTTTTGATATGTGACACTGCACCTATCTAAAGATATACTTGGTAAATTAGTAGTGTGAAGAGCTTAATTATTATCCAGGGAGTTTCTGACTCTTATATTAAAATAACATTGCTGTATTTGACAATGGAAATTAGGTTTTTATCTTTTATAACATGTAATTGTCTTTCTGTAAAACTTAGGCTTGAAGGGCATGTGTAAAGTTTCCAAAGAAGGAACCCAGAATAGTTTAGGTCCCCAGGAGCAGCAGCTTAGGTCCCCAACCTTTGGCATTTAGGTCCCAAAATAGAAGCAGTGTATGTCCTCAACAAAAAAATGGGGTCTCTAGCTGCACAGTTAAGGGTTCTGAACGAAAATAGCATTGGTCCCCAACCTAAGCAATCCAGTCCACAGCCTAAATGATAAACAGAGACCATATGATTGATTCTGATCATTTGCAAATTATTCACTTTTGAGAAAAATTATCAACTTTCATTCTTTTTAAATTTAAATATTTAAACCTATTTAAATTTCAGATTGTTCTGAATGGCGCCTTGATGGTTACAATTACTCTGGTGTGTACAATGTCACCCTCAGCCACGCCCTGAAGCCCATCTCTGTGTGGTGTGACATGGACACTGACGGCGGTGGCTGGACAGTTTTCCAAAAGCGCCAAGATGGTTCCGTTCATTTTTTTCTCGACTGGGACCAGTACAAGACTGGTTTTGGGAATGTGGATGGAGAGTTCTGGTTGGGGAATGACAACCTTCATTATCTGACCAATCAGAAAGATTACGTTCTGCGGATTGATATGTGGGACTTCGACAAAAATCACAGATATGCTGAATATGAGCACGTGAAAGTGGATGCAGAAAGCAACAAATTTACACTTCATATTGGAAAATATAGTGGCACGGCTGGTGATGGACTAGGACCTGTCAACAACTCAGCATTTTCTACAAAGTATCATGATAGTGATCTGTATGTAGGTAATTGTGCTTTAGATTTTAAAACTGGCTTTTGGTTAGCCGGATGTACCAGTGCAAATCCTAATGGACTGTATTATTTTGACCCAAAATATACTGGGCAGGATGCAATAAGTTGGTGGACATGGAAAGGGAAATACGCCCTGAAGAAAATTGAAATGAAATTGCGACCAATGCTTTTTCCTGTTACTTAGCAATATTTTTGTTTAATTTGTGATTTTTGGCTGTGATTAATTAGATTTTCGCACAGAATTTGAAAATTTTAAGAGATTAAAAATTGGAAAATAAATTATTTTCATAACATTTATTCATGGTTTACTTTTTTTTTACTACTGATTTGTGACATTATTATGATTTTTATATAATATGTGTGGAGGAATACTGCAAGAGCTTAGGCTGGGTAAATGATACATAATGTAAGAAACTATCAAATGCCACAGTTCATGAGCACTGTACTAGTACTGTACTGGCTGTCATTTGCCATAGAAACAGCCATATGAATACTAGTGCACAACTATTACCAGCTAGAGCGATAGGTTGTCCACTATCAAATTAAGTCTGTTTCTCAGATCTTTGTTACCCACATAATATTTTTGAGGTGAGTAACTACGAAGTGTTCTTGGGCATTTTGGAAAATCCAAGATGGCTGCCATGTGCCACAGGAATTCTAGTATATGAGGGATTCAACTAATGGCAACTGGAAAGATTAGTTTTTATGTACAGACACAGATGTGTCTGTACATATAGCCATCACCTGCGTCTGTCGTCGTCGCCGTGCACTTTCACCGATAACACGATAAGTGAAAAACCGTTTTACCTTTTGGCTTGAAACTTACAGAACTGATGAATATTCATAATATGCAGGTCAAGTTCGAAAATCAGCATGATCAGGCCATTTTGATGGAATTTATGCCTTTTTTTTCACTATTTTCAATATAAATACAACACTGATAACACAATATAAGAAAAACGGATTGGCCAATTGTAATTATACTCACAGGAGTGGTCAATCTTACTAAAATGCAGGTTGAGTTCAAAAATCAGCATAATTGGGCCATTATTTTAGAAGTTATACTGTTTTTCACATTTCCTCAGATTCAATTATTAGGCATGTTAACAGTCTCATTATTTAACTAATAAGATGCCTAAAAGTGTTTGTTTGATATTTCCTGCATCTTTACAAAATTGTTAGTTGATTATGTAAAAAGCATGGTAAACTTGTTATCATGTATTGTGTAATAAAGTGTCAAAAATGGAAATAAACCCATATCATTGCAGTTTGTCAGATTCAATCATCCACTATGTTCAGTATCTCAGAATGGGGGAAATTGGACATTTAACACTGTTCTATTGATACTTTTCCCATCTCATCAATTTTCTTAGTTGGTCATATAAAATGGCAGTAAAATGTTTATTTTGTTTTANTAAAAAACAGAAAAACAACTGAATTCATCTTCATTTTATTTGTAAGCCTATCTCTCGCAGGTATTAACTGAACCCCACCTTCTATGGCTAATGGCAGCCATTTTGTTTTGTTTTGTTTTCAAAAAGGATACACATAACATTCTCACCACATATGTATTATGTGAATTAAAAAGATGTGGAAAATACTCAGAAACAAACCTAATTTATCAATTAATATTATATCTCCATGGCAGAAGAAGCCCTATGTGTATACTAGTATTCCTTTGATATGGGGGCCATCTTGGATTTTTCTCGAATTGCCTGTGAATAAAGGTTAGTTACGTACTCACCACAAATAAATTATTTGTGTAATAAGAAACAAAATTAATTTGATAGTGGGCAATGCATCTTCCTAGTTGGCATTAGTTAGTTGAAAACCCTTGTACATGTTCCAGTATTCCTATGCCACACGGCGGCCATCTTGGATTTTTCAATAAGTCCAAGGACACTAGTTTGTTATCTGACACATATGCATAATATGGGTAATAAGGATGTGGAAAACATTGAGAAAATACTTAATTTGGTAAAAATCAACATAGATATGTATGTATTTCTACAAAATTTCAAAAATTGGCAGCCATTTTGGATTTTTTGGCCAAACGGTAATTTTTTTCCGTGGGCTACGGCTCTAATTTGATTTAGTATGTTGAAAGGTACCCACATGCAAAATTTGGTGCTTTTATCCGCTGTGTCACGATTTGGCCATTTTTTTGCCCTAAGCAACCGGACTATTACTGTATAACAAATTTACCTACATGTATGAACTTTTAATCTGTTATTTGTCAGGTTGGGAATTTTTAAGGTACAGTTGTACAGAGTTCTCATTCACAACTTTCAGACCAAAATTTTAGTCTACTTTGGCCAGAATATAATTCAGAAGACTTATGCGAAGACTTATGATGATAAATAATTGTGAAAATGCAATATAATGATAATAAATCATACCTATACAGTTGAATATGTTTGTTTTCTTTGGTCTCATAGTAAGTACTGGTAGCTCTAGGGTCTTAGAAGGAATGTAATAAACATGCTGGGGAATGCAGCAAAATTTACTTTTTCAGAAAATGTAATTATAAACACAGAATGTAAGGAAGGCTGCAAAATGCATCAAAAAGTTACATTTAATTCCCTTTCCCCAAATGCACCAATGACACTTTCTTGACAACTTGTTCAAAACCTGGGAGGTGGTCTTAATCTTTGCCTGAACGGACTTTTTCTTGTGTATTGCTTTTATGCAAATTGAGGCGCAAAACACACTTCCATGTTTGTACCACACATTGGAAATTGAAAGAGTAAGCTGGCATCATTTCAAAATGAGTGTGTCAAGATTGGGCAAGGTATCTTTTATGTGTTGTATATTCTGCCTTGTTTATAGAAATCATTACATTTTGCAACTGATATTTTTTTACGATATGATTTTCCATCATTTCCATCATTGTTTTTCAGGCTGGTAGTCGTATTCTTAGCACCCATGATATGGACACAAGACATACAGATTTTGTAGAATTCTACTTGCGCATTGGAGGTTCCAACCTGCTCTCCTGTCAGGGAGGTATGAAAAGGGAGAACAGCATTCTGCTCCAGTACTCCCTAAATGGAGGAATCACTTGGGAACTCCTGAAAGAGCTGCAGGGAGATGACTACAGAAATGCAAAGTGAGTGTAAAAGAAATTCATTGGAGTGGGGAGGGGGCACCTGGCAGCAGGCTTTTGAGGTACAAAGTAAAATAATACAAACAGGCCAGTAGCCAGCAATTTCAAAAGGGGGTTTCTTTTTTGAAAAAGTGGACCTTTTCCAATGAAAACTTCATGTACCTAGATCAAATTTTATCCAGAGTGGACCTTTTCCCAGCAAAAGGGGCGGTTCTTTTGACCCCCCCCCCCGACCCCCCATGGTTATGGGCCTGACAAATCCAAACAATTCAGTTTTCCATCATTGTGCCTTACACCTTATATTAATCTTTGAATTATCATCTACTGTTTTATATTTGCCTTGCAATTTTTTTGTCCTTGTTACCTCGCCCTAGCTGGTTTCTCTGTCCACTGGTCTGATTTGTTGACTTTTGTTCATTGCTGTTTTGTAAACAAATTCTGAGCAAATCAATTATTTCAAAATGCATAAATTAGAAAGATTTCTGCCATAAAAATGAGGGCATTGATATACAGAAATATTATTTAATAGCTAGTACAGATACACACCAGTTTTCAGTTTGTAAGGAAAAATTCAAAATTGTTGAAATGCCAACTTTAACTGAAGGCATGCAGTTAGTCTGACCAAGGAGTTATAACAGAAGGAGATTACACGCAAGCCTTTCTATTGTCCGATGTCTGTTACAGTGGGCAGAGCTAGCTACGGGGGGCCTCCGGTCTCAAGGTTTCGTCTGCGTCGCTCTCCTCAGCTTGGAGATAAATTTCATATGCATTATTTCGCGTTAGAATTCGAGATCAGTAATGTCAAAGCGCCGCTGTATGCTGACGATTTTTTTCACAGGTAATTATTTGGACGATGTGCTGGAAGGGAACGATATCATAGAAAGCGATTATAAGGTGGTGACTGAGGATGGTCACCATGAGCTTTTTTTAGTCGGTGATAGATGGCTTTTTTATGGCACAACCCGGTGAAAAATCACCAAGGAGAAGTCAAAAGAAAACGCCCCAACTGTGGTTTGTGAAAATGACATTCAAGTGAACGTCTGTCCTCACTGCCAAAGGACATAATATT